ACCAAAAGCAATCTACAGATTCAGTGCAATGCCCATCAAAATCCCAGCAAAATTCTTCACAGACCTTGAAAGAACAGTACTCAACTTCATATTGAAAAGCAAAAACCCCAGGGTAGCCAAAACAACCCTGTACAATAAAGGAACTTCTGGAGGCATCACAGTCCCTGACTTTAACCTCTACTGCAGCGCTACAGTACTGAAAACAGCCTAGTATTGGCATGAAAAAGACAGGCAGACCAATGGAACCAAATCACAGATATTAACCCACACACCTACGAACACCTGATTTTTGACAAAGAAGCAAAGAATATCAAACGGAAAAAAGAAAGCATATTTAACAAGTGGTGCTGGCATAACTGGATATCAAGATGTAGAAAAATGAAAATAGATCCATGTACAAAACTCAAGTCCAAATGGATCAAAGACCTCAACGTAAAGCCAGCCACACTGAACCTCATAGAAGAGAAAGTGGGAAGTACACTTGAATGCACTGGCACAGAGAACCACTTCCTAAACAGAACCCCAGTGGCACAGACACTGAGAGAAACAATTAATAAATGGGGACCTCCTGAAACTAAAAAGCTTCTATAAAGCAAAGACACAGTCAACAAGACAAAACAGCAGACTACAGAATGGGAAAAGATCTTCACTAACCCCACATCAGACAGAGGTCTGATCTCCAAAATATACAAAGAACTCAAGAAATTGGTCATCAAAAGAACAAATAATCCAATAAAAAAAATGGAGTACAGACCTAAACAGAGAGCTCTCAACAGAGGAATCTAAAATGGCTGAAAGACACCCAAGGAAATGCTCAACATCCTTAGCCATCAGAAAATGCAAATCAAAACAACTCTGAGATTCCATCTTAAACCTGTCAGAATTATCAAGATCAAAAACACTGACGACAACTTATGCTGGAGAGGTTGTGGGGTAAAGGGAACACACCTGCATTGCTGGTGGGAGTGCAAATTGGTACAACCCCTTTGGATATCAGTGTGGAGATTTCTCAGAAAATTAGAAAACAACCTTCCTCAAGACCCAGGAGAACAACTTTTGGGTATATACCCAAAGGATGCTCAATCTTACCACAAGAACATGTGCTCAACTATGTTCAGAGCAGCGTTGTTTGTCATAGCCAGAACCTGAAAACAGCCTAAATGTCTCTCGACCGAAGAATGGATAAGGGAAATGTGGTACATTTACACAATGGAGTACTGCACAGGAGAAAAAAAATAATTACATCTTGAAATTTGCAGGCAAATGTGTGGAGCTAGAAAACATATTGAGTGAGGTGACTGAGACCACAGAGATTGGATAGCCTGTTCTGTTCCCTGATACGTCAAATATACTTGGCATATAGGTACCATATATATATATTTGTTGAATCAATGTGTTATAGATTTGAATACAGTGGAGGGCCGCTGGGAACCCTGGCAGGAGGAAAAGAGCACGCAGAGGCAGAGGCCGGATACAGGAAATCCCCATGGAGCATCAGAGTCCAGACCTGGTCCGTGGGACATGCTATGTTTGAGTGTGGTCAGAGTGGCCATGACAGCATGGCAGGATTGGACTTAGGGATGGGCCATGGGTAGCAGTTTCCTGACCTTACTTTCCGATTGGGAGGTGGGAGTTGCTGCCATTTCTTCAGGTTTCTGCTCAGATATCAGATCATTACTAACAGGGGCTAGAGCTCAGAGAGACCCATGCTGTCTGCTGGAGGTGCCCATGAGCCAGAGCAGACACATCTCCCATCACAAGGGACAGTTATCAGAAAGGGGAGTTTTCAGTTGATTGCCAAAGGACCAAGACCCAAAGCCCTGGAACCCTCATTGTCAACAGGCAGGCGTGGAAAGTATAAAGTTAGGAGGTTCATTAAGTGGGCCACTAGACCCTCTTGAGAAGACATGCATTCCAAGTCAGCTTCAGGATTTAGTTGAATGAAGGGAGGGGCAGCAAAAGGGAAGGATGGAAGAGCCTGGAGCTCATTCGATGCACACGCGTCTTCCAAAGCAACCCTGCTCAGGAATCATACCCCTGGAGGGAGGTAGCGATTAGTGTTAACTTGGACTTGAACATTGGATGAGTCAGGGACCTTTGCGGGTGCATCTTCTTAATGGACGCCCCTAATAGCTTTGTTTCTTTCAACACATTTCATCCATAAACTCTTGTGTCTTCCCTTTATATGAACGCCGCTGATGCTCAGGGAGCTTCCCCCGCCTGCTGTGGGTTTGAGTGCTTTCATGTTTGTCTTTGCAAGGACTCCACACTGAAGACATTAGCTGGGCCTGCTCAAGGAGATCCCAACCTGTCAATTACACTCCTTCTTTTTTCCAAAGTGAAAAGATTGTGTATCCAGAATCTAACCACCTGCCGGGAGCCTAGGCTGCCTCTCCCACTTCTCGCCTAGTTGTTATCCACCTCTAGGAGTTGAGCTTCCGTCTTCCACCCTGACCCCTCCAGTCTACTACACCAAGAGCCAGAGTGCCTCTCCAGCCAGCGCAGGCTGAAGAAGCCTGGCTGAATTTCACCCACCAGTGTTTGTCACAGCAACTGTTCAGCCCTTTAGGATAGAATTTAACTGCCCAGAAATACCTTGGTTTGTTCATCTGTGTTGACTGTTCAGGAGAGCAAATGCTTCCCAAGTGTCTGAACAAATATGAAGAGAGAGGGACGTCAGGGTGGGATGGAAAGAACATCCCTAATCAGGAGAGGAAGTGGCACGTCACTCGTGTGGACAAAAAGGAAACCATCTGACCTAATTTTTATAATGGGAACTACTGACTTGCATGTTGGTAACTGACTCACCAAAAGTGTATTCTGCTTCCATTGCTGGGCCTCCGGAGTGGGCCTACTCACCACAGTGTGGCTTGTGGCTTGGCTGTCTCTGGTGTAGTGATTAAGTAGGGTTCTAAGCTTAACTGCAATCACACCACTGCCATGTGTGGCCATGGGTGAAGAAAACAGATTGCCCGGTTCGATAACAGAAGTCCAAGTTGACGTCAAACCAAAAGCCCACCCAGGGAGTCCACTTAGAAGACAGAGAAATGGATCTCACCACATGGAAGGCTCATCCAAATGATACCTCAAGCGCCAATCACTCTTTCATCCCAGCTTACAGTGAAAAGGGGGAAAAAAAAAACCAGGAGAAACTTCCTGGAGCAGAGAGGTTTTGACAAGGAAACCCACTTAAGATGGCAGTAAGACACAAAAGCTTGACTTCCCCATATCTCTTGTGTGAGGCTAGGATTTTCCCTCCTTCAGGCCGCTTGTTCACAGGCTGTCTCTCTGACGGGACCGCCCTGGCCTGCTGATGGCTGCATCTCCAGGGCTGTGTCAGAGCCACCTGTTGTCGGTCAGTGCAAATGTTTTGGATCCTCCGTGATGAGTCACTTCTCCTGCTGTTCTTGCTGCTGCCGGGAACTAATGTACCATGGGGCTGGAGTGGGAATATGCGGACTCACTTGTCATGAAGCTCTGTCCTCTGCAAAGCTCGTGTCCATGATGAGAAATCTTTCCAGCACCCCTGGAGGCGGCGGTGATGTGTTTGGAAGTGGTGGGAGGAAGAGTCAGTGGGCTATGGTGTGGCCCCTCCCACAACGCTGGATTTGTCACAGAAACAGCTGAGCCACGGACTGACCTCAGAAGGGTTGTGTTCTCTTGGGAGTTACTCATGCTCTCTTGGTTGACTGTTGGTTACACAGAGTAAGGTCTGTGACCACACACCGGGCCACCAAGGGGAATGTGCTGACCAGCAGGGCCCCTTAGACAAGAGTGTTCCTGATGCCAAATTAGTCGGGAGAGGTGAAAGAGATGCTTCCCAAGCTATATGCTAGGCTACAAGCAGAGGCAGTTATGCTGGGGCCTCCAGGGTGGGCATCTGACTGTGTACAGGGAGCCTTGGCTGCAAATGGCAGAATAGATGATTGCCCAGGCAGACACCTGAAAATGAGTCACACGCCACCTTGTGCACTTCTGTCTGGTGGCTCAGGTCTTAGGCTAAAATATAAGACGTGTTTCTCCACACAGTGTTTCACACAAATCAGCTTTTATTGTTCCTATCATTATCTTTTGTTCAAAAAGAGAAAAAAGATTATTGTGATGGCTCAAATCTCGCTTTAATCATGTCTCCTAAAAGATCCTAAAATGCTCCTATGCTTCATGCTCCCCTTATTTCTCCACCACCCCAAAATTCAAAGCCAAATAGCAGCAACAAAGCCCCACAGCCAGGAGTCTCCAGTTCCATCCAGCTTGTTACATTCCTCACTGGCACAATCCAAAGCTTGGAATCACCAAGCTGCAGGTGGGTGGAATTTTATTCTTACCATAGAGTAGGTGTGATTTTTATAGGCTCCTAGCTCAGAGGCAGAGTTGTGCACTTGGCGGGTAAGTGAAATACCTGTACTGGGGGAGTCCAAGCACGAGGCACCGGCCCCTCCTGCCATGGTCATTGAGCATACTAGGTGGCTGCTGCATCGAAGCCAGTCTTGGCTGACCTTTCCCATCCAAGGAGCCACTAACCTAGGCAGGACGGTAGAGCTGGCAAATGGACCGGAATGTTCTAGTCTAGAGTGATCTGTGTGGCGCTGGAGGTGACTTGGGGAGGAGGAGCCAGCCTGCTCAGAGTAACCGTCGCTGTCACCAAGGGGCAGGGAGCTAGAAGAAACGTCTCTAACCACTTGTGTTGTCCAGGCACAAGATGCCCCTGTTCCGAGGATGCTCCAAGAACTCCCAACCCTGCCTTGTCTGTGTACTGAGGGTGTGGGGACAGGTACTAGCACCCAGGGCCCTGTGGTGACTGTGCTCTAAGGGGAACAAGGTACCCACAAGGTCTCCATGTTCCTGACTCCCAGCTGGGGATTTGGCCACAAAGGGATGCAGATGAGCTGTGGGTGTCTGGCTGAACCTGCAATGCGAGAGAACTTTTGGCAAATAAGCTGTATCTCCACAGGAAAAATAAGGCTCGACAGTGCTTGCGACAGCTCTGGCTGAGGGGGACAGGGACACTCCACGCCAGTCAACCAGCTGCATAGTGTGGTCTCAATAGGAGCACAGGAAAGAAACCCCAAGGAGCCACTTTCCTTCTATGGAGGGCCTGACATCAGACCCCAGCATGTGCTGACACTGCGCCAAAGCCCTTCCATGTTTGAAGAAGGTAAGACACAGACTGGGGATAAATATTTACCTGTGCCCGGGTAGGCCAAGGGGTTGTTAGCACAAACCTGTACAGACCTGTGGCTATCATGTCTTAGAAACAACAGAGGACGGAACATTTCACCTCCATTTGGGAAGAGTCTGTAGACAGGCACTACCAAGAAGCGCCGACCTAGTCAGTCCATTCATAAGGAGTCTTGGCTAGCCCATGACTGTAGAGGCAATTAATTCGGGCTAGCCCTAGGATGTTTCAGAACTCTGTGTGTGTGTGTGTTGGGGGTTTGTGACAGACGGTTCTTCCCTTTGCTATCACATCACACCAACAGGGATCCCCAGGGATCTCTGCTTCTGCAGCTCAGGAAGGAGGCTGCTTCCAAACACAGGTGATCAACAGCCTGTTTCTTATGATATTGCAAGAAATACCAATGTCAGTTCCATAATTCCTGAACCCTGGTTATTTACTAGACTAGAATCCTCTCTGGGAAGAGTTCAATCTCATGTCAGATACAGAGAAGCAAAGTGTTGGCTTCGAGAGACACGCAGGTTTCACTGCACGCGTGCAGGCGCTCTGGAGCGTGGTGAAGGGACAATTCTAGAAGGAGGAAGTTTCCTCCCAGGGGGCTCAGCCCGTGTACAGACGTGTCCCTGCCTCCACAGATTTAGGGTCTGAGCTCCACTGGGCTCATGTGGTGCTTGAAAACCAGGCTGTGTGCTTGAAGGCCTGGGGCCCCAGCCTGGCATCGTGGGCTCAGGGTCACCCCTCCCCCTCCTCCTGGGAGATGCCCAGCACAGATTTATGGAGGATACCACATTCCTGCAGGGACTTGGTGAGGTCAGAGAAACGTCTTCTGGGCACATCCATCGTTTCGATGCTACAGTGTTGGTAGGTGGCTTTGTTTTTCTGCTCAGCCACCGCAAGGACAGTCTGTAGGTCATCACTGGGCCTGAAGTAGCGCACGAACCTTTGGCCTGAGGGTGACCTGATAGCCAGCAGCAGCCTCGGCTCTTGGTCTGTTGGCTCCTCCATGTTTGAGGCCCTAGAGGAACTCTGTCTCTTGGTGCGGATGATGAATTTCTTCTCTAAGGCACAGACTTGGTTTCTGGAATCTTCTTGGCTTGACTTTACAGTGGTGTGGGTCTCCTCCTGGTAAAGGGCCTGGACGTTACTCAGCTGGAGAGAACTGGCTTTTCTAGCCACCGTGTCCACAGCCCCGTCCTCCAGGCTCCTTCTGTTGATGGAAGGGAGAACTGGGTACTTATTGAGAGATGAGGTAGCCCCGGAAAGCACCTGTGGCATCAGCTCCGGCATCTCATCAGGGGTTCCCTGAGATGGAGAGGCGGGTACACAGGCCCCTGGTTTCTGGCTGCTTGACGACCCGGAGGAACATGGCGGAGGTGAAGCCGACAGTACACTGGGAGAGCCATCGCCCCTGCCTTGTGTTCTGTGCAGATTTGGCCGCTTCCGGCCCTTGGCAGACTTGGGCCTGATGACATGCATCCTGAGAGAGCTGGGCTGACAGATGAAGCTGTCAACTGAGATACCGACCACGGTGCTACGTTGAGGTGGTGCGAGGTTCACAGGGGCTTCTGTGGCCATTGCTTCTCAGGACCCCTAAGGAAGCAGGCAGAAACAGGGAAAGGCATGGGTTAAGCTCCAGGGATACTGAGATTCCCTCTTCTGTCATTCACGGCGCACTGGGAGGGTAAGCATCAATGGGCCAGAATAGGGGACCGTTCTCTGGGTTTCTGACACCTGAGGAGGGGGAGCGATTGTGACTCATTCATTACAGGATCTTGGAACACAGCAGTGAACCACAGTCCTGGGAACTTAAATTATTGAAGCCAGGAGAGAAGCGAGAGAAATCCACACGTCTGAAGATATGTTCAAGGAATGATAAGGCACATGACACAGAATGACTAAGGCAGGGGACTAACTCTCACTCTCACGGAGAAGGGCCAGGGAGCGGAAAGACCACTCTGAGAAGGAACAAGCCATGTGACAAGACAGAATCGAGTCAGACAACTTTTTCCACAGATGCGTCTGTAGCGACTGAGTTCTGTCTGCCGCACCGGCACAAAGCCAGCATGGCGACACAATGGCGTGCACTGTGATCTGGTGAAGTCTGACTGGGCCCCGACCGAGAAAGGTGTTTGTAGGGCAGAAGGGTCCTGGTGACCTCCTACATCAGGTAGAGCGTACTGAGTTTCCACGTCCTTGATGGCTCTCGGGCGAGAAGCTCCCCCAGAGAGTGGCAGGCACAGACCTCAGATGCAGAGGCTGGAATGTTAGGGCTGGCTGCCTTTGCTTAAAGATGGATGGTAACCCTGTTAGGACACACAACGGGGCAACCAGACTCAGCTCCACACAACAGAAAGTCACTTCTCTCTACAAGGGACGCTGTCTGCCCTGGCATCATGTACCGCGGACACACTGCCCTCTGGACTCCCCGTTCTCCCTATGCTGCAGGCCTTCCTCCGTTCCTTCTCCCTCTCAGTCCACACTGAGCCCTAACTCTCTTTCCTCACCTTGCCAGGTGGCCCTGCACAAGTCACGTGGAACGTGGCTCCCCTGCTTGGTCGGGTGCCAGGGAGGACAGGGGTTGCCCTGATCGCACGCTAGAACTCACAGGGGACACTCAGATTCTGGACAAGGGGTCGGCAAGCTTCCATATGAAGACTTAGCGAGAGTCCGTTTTGATTTTTCAGTCTGTGGCGACCAGGCAACTCTGCGTCTGCCGGGCAGTCCTGGGCAGGGTCAGATGGACAAGTGTGGCTTTATTTAGGTCGTAGGCCTGCCTCGTGCTTCTTCCTGTTACTCTATAGCAAAGCTTTGCCTGTTGCTCTCAACAGGAGAGATCAACTTTTGACGCAGCGATAGGAGGCTATCAGGTCACAATCATAACTATCCTTGGACACGTGTGACCCGCGGGTTCACACACACACACACCTGCTTCAGAGCATACCTCGATGGCACTGGCGATGGCTCTCCTCCTACTCAGGGCTTAAACCGATGGGAGACCCCAGCTCCCAAACCTTCCCTCTCTACTGTGGAGAACGGGCAGGAGTTTGATGTCCGACAGCTCCCTCCTCCTATGCAGTGGCCTCAAAATTACAAGACACTTCTTGAGCTAATCACTTCCTTCCAACGCCACACTTGTTCTTATCTCAGATTTACCTCCCCCAAACGCCTCCCATAACTCAGTCCTTAACAGTGGACCCTTGCTGCTCTCTGTGTGTGGTCTCTACTAGACCACAAGGGACCAAACCGCGAGGAATCAAAAGGTCCTACCTCCATGTAATCCTGGCAGCCTGCTGTTTAAAATCTCAGACAAGGTTCCCTTCCCTTTCAGATTTTAATTGTTTTTCCCATTTGCCGTGTGTGTGTGTGTGTGTGTGTGTGTGTGTGTGTGTGTATGTGTGCGCTGCATATTGTGGGCACAGATACAGACAAGCACACATGCACACAAGGGGGCCCGGGGCTGATGTCAATGGAAATCATCTTCTATTGCTCTAACATCGTATTCACTGAGGCGGGATCTGTCAACCAAACCCAAAGCCCACCCCACCCATATGGCTAGTCTTGCTAGATTCCTACGGGGACTCTGTCCCTGCCTTCCAGGGCTGGAATTATAGCTGAGCTGCCACACCCACCAGGCATGCACATGGAGATGGAGATCCAAATTCTGGTCCTCAGGCAGATGCTTTGACCATTGAGCCATCACCTCAGCCCCCATCCCCAGTTTAAACGTCTCTGCGGTTGTCCCATTCTATACACAACCATAACCTTCCTCCACTCTCCTTCTCCATCCTCTGTGCCCAGGCTGGCAGCAGGCAGTCCAGAAACTTCTTCCTGAGCCAAAAGTTTTGGCCTCAGAAATATCTTCCCATCTCCTTGTCTGTTTCATTTATTTTCTGATCGACTATGAAGATTATTTTTTTTCCCTATGAGTTTCTTGCTCAGAGTGGCAGGAGGAAGCCGTAGCTGTCCAGCTGAGCTGATGAAGGTAAGCACCTCACTTGGGTACAGCTATTAATTTGCCACAGCTTCTACAGGATTATCACAGGCTTGGCTTCCAACACCCACACATGCCTGGGGAAGGCTTGACTACTGTCAGGAAGTTTGGTAACTTAGAAACCTCTCCCTAACAACTTTGATGAGGAAAGTCATGTGTTCTCACAGGCGCTCTGCTGGGCTATTTTTAACAGTCAAACGCGAGTGTGTGCGTGAAGTTGCTATACCTTTTGGTACTCTATATAATTAGCCATGTTCAGGGGGTGTCATTTCAAGACACCCTGGTCATAAGATAACATGACTGCAAGCTATCTCAAGAGAGAGAGAGAGAAAAAAAACCTCAATTATGACTAATTCTATAAGCCTACTCGTGGCTATTTAGAGAGTAACACCTCCTTCAGGTAAAACCGTTCCATCCAACCTGCTTTTAGAACCCACTGCCTCCTCCCCAGTGCCGAGACCATCTGTTACATGGAGGGAACACCAGCTCCCACCCCCAACCAGTGCAAGGGCAGGATTCTGTGGGGAACAGGTGTCTGGAGAACTGCATCCGTGGAACCTTTATCGTCACACCCTGGGTCCCAAACTCTGCCTGTGCCCTGGGTCCAGGCTTCTACGACAGCATAATCCCTGCTTGGCTCATTTCACCTCCTCTAGGTCTGGCAGACACTCAACCACAAAGTGATTTGACAGGATCTAGGCGTAGGCACCCGTCAAGCTGCCAGCAGAGGAGACAAGTGGCCTGTTTACTCAAACACAATAGCTAGGAGGCAGAGGCCTGCTAAGAGGCAGAAACGAAACACTGGGCACCATTTCCAAGACGTTGCCAGGAGGGCAGGTGCCCATTCCTTAGGATTATCACCGCACAAACAGGAAAGAAGGGGCATTGGCTCGAACATAAAGCAAGATTCCTGTTGTTTTCCCATGGTGCCCACAAGGCACCAAGGGGTCAGACCACACTGCTTCACAGCCCAAATCTAAACCTACGGCGAAAGCTGCAAAATATAACCACCTACAAACCATCTGTTGGCATATACCAGGACTCACACACGTGCATTGGTCTTTTAAAACTGCTTATCAGTTACTACCACCCCCACCCTGCTGCCACCCCCTAGCCCCCAGACTGGCTTACAAAATTAAACCGTGTAAAGGAACCAACCCGGGGATGAAGAAAGCCAAGATTAACACCATTCCCAGCGCTACTCCAAACCAGAGATCAGAATGAGGGAAACCACAAGCCACCAAGTAAGGGAAGCTTTGCAAAGAGAACTAGGGTTGACTCAGGATAGAAGGGCGGGTGAGAGGCTTCTGTTATTTCCAGGGGCGGTCAGGCCTCGAAGCAAAGAAGTGCAGAACGGGGGTGTCAGGGAATGGCAGGAAGGGTTGGGGCATAAGGGCAGACTTGGGGAAAGAGCGTGGAGCTGTGGGAGGCTCCTCCAGCTCCTGCCTCTGCACAGGACCCGGAGTCCTTTCTCTCTCTCTGGATCTGTGTCCAGGGACTGGTTCAGATATGCCCCTCCCAGAGGGCCCCTTGGCAGCTGAAGGGTCAGGCTCCAGCCAGGTTGGCTCTGCCTCTGTGGAAGTTCTCTTAAAAGGCCCGGCTCTCACTTTTCTGGGGACCCACAGTGGGCCTCTCACCTCGCAGCTCAGCTCCATCCGCCTCCTGTGCCTGGCTGCGACCAGCTGGTAAACAGCCCCGTCTCCGTGGCAACCGCCGAGGGGTGGGGGGCCACGTGCTTCCGGTGGGGCCGGAACCTGCCTGGCCTGGACAGGCCTGTGCTGGCTAAGTTGGACAAGCCTAGACACGGAGAGAGCGCGCGGGACTTAAAAGTCTCTGGTTCACAGATTTCAGAAGCAGGACCTTGGTGTGGCCCCGCCCATGGAGGCCACAGGGCCCTGGGCCTGGGCCTCTGCCACCTTCTCTCCTCTTCCTGACCTGGCCTGACTGTTGTCTATCTAGGGAGAGTGCGTTCAGGGAAAGGGAACCCTGCCCTGGGGTGGGGATGGCGACCATCATCAAAACCGTCTGTCATTGGCTCCACCCTGTCAGCATCCCTTCCCACTCCCACCCTGGGGATACTCTCAAGAGTTTTGTGATCAGCTCAGCACCCTTATCTCCTATTTTTTTTTTGGTATTTCGATTTCGAGACAGGGTTTCTCTGTAGCTTTGGAGCCTGTCTGGAACTAGCTCTTGTAGACCAGGCTGGCCTCGAACTCACAGAAATCCACCCGCCTCTGCCTGCTGAGTGCTGGGATTAGAGGCGTGTGCCACCATCACCCGGCTATCCCTTTTCTCCTTTAAGAGCCTCGCTGTACAATCAGCAGCTCCAGCCACTTCACTGTGTTTTCCAACAGCCTTGAGATTTGAAGTCCCACAGCCTGTCTGCGCTTCCTCTACCCTGCTCAGAAGCTATGGTTCACTCCCTCCGCCATTCTGTTGGTAAGAGTTCCCCTTGCCTTTGTCATTGTGTCTCATCTATCTATCTATCTATCTATCTATCTATCTATATGATAGAGTCTTAGCTGTTAAATGTCCGTCCATACCAAGCACTAAAGATATCATGGCGAGTCACACAAATGAACGTCAGGGCACTTGTGTGGTCTCCCAACGTCAGTCAGCCCCCCCCCCCCCCCGCCCTCCCTGGCCATCTTGTCTTCACGCCCCCCCCTCCGCAAAACCTCCCCCCTTTCACCTTCCCTCCTCCCTCTGGAATGACAGTCTTGTGGCCTCTGCAGGGAAAAACAGAAATCAAGGCATGGAAACCTTTTTCACTGACTGCTGTCAGCCCCCTCCCCCACCTCCCTGCTGCTGCTTCCTTGCTTCTGGTCTATTGGACTGGAGAATGGTTGACTTCTGACTGACTCTGTCCCCTGTTACTGCCCCTGTGGTGTTCCATTGGTTCCCAACCACGGTCACGCATCCACGCACCCTCCCTAGGCTCAACACACACACTTCTGTTGAACCCTTGGCTTGAAGATCCTTCCCCAGCCTATCCTGGTCCTTCGTTTGCCCAGTTCCTCTCTGTCTTCGTTCCAGTCTAGTGACGTCTTTCTTCCGAGCAGGCTTTGATAGGACTTTAAGAGACTCTGCTCGAGGCCCTGAGAGTAATTTAGTGACTCCACTGGTACAAGTTACTACTAGACAATCAAGAACCACAGATTCGTTGCCTAGAGTCATTGCCGGGTGTTTGCTACCTGCTTTGTCCTGCATGTGTAGGGATGGGATTTTGAAATGAGCACAACTCTAAGCCCTTCTCAGCGCATTCACGGCTGGGTCAGAAAGGCACGTTGTTCGCTGACAGTTATACGTAGTCCTGGCAATTATAAATAGTACTTATTTGTTATAAATAATACTCAGTATACTTGGAGTCAAGGGTAGGAGAGTAGACATGGGCTGGATGGCATCGTATATAACGTGATTGGTACCAGTGGTACATATTTTAGGAGCTGGCATGGAGGGTTCATTTGAGTGATGGGCTGTTAGCCCATCTTGGAGAGGAAGCTTCTGACCTTGGTGGAGCACCTGGCCTTGGATGAGGGCCTGGGCTAGGCTGGCCTCCTTTTTGGGAATTCTGTCTCTGGATATCCAGGAGGCATCGTGGCCCCAGGAAGGTACTGCGGGTACTTTTAGAAGCTGGTTGTTTTGCGTTGCGGTGTCGCTGGCTTACATCTTGTTAATGATGCTGTCAGAAGTCTCCAGGCAGTGCTCTTCAGCCCTCCGGCGCCCACTCAGAAGAGATTAAAGTAGATCCTTCACCAGCTATTTTAACTTCACCTAAGAATTATGCAATACTCTGAGAATTGTGTCGATTTCAATCCCGGCTCCCCCACTGTGTGCGAGAGTGGTGTGTGTGTGTGTGTGTGCGCGCGCCCTTGCTGGGGCATGGTGAAATGCTGGCCTGTGCTCCATTTCATGTTCAGCAACACACAACTCTTTGTTCTCCGGCATGGTGTGATGCAGCCCTGTGGGAAGAGGCGGCCAGCTAGTCCCTCTCTTTATCTCCTGACCCACACCAGAGGGTATCTTCAAAGAACGTTCCCTCTGATGCCCGGGCTGAACATGCTCACACATTCGCTAGTTTCTCAGGAAATGACTGGAGGCCACTCTCCTGTCTGCCAGTGCGAGGACTCATCTTCCTTTGTTCCATGCTGCCGCTCCCAGCTCTCTTCTGAGCTCTAGCCAACTTTTTCCCCAAATAGGCCCTTGACCTTCTCCTCTCCAACATCCGGGTTCACATCTGCCCCCTCCCAAGATGAATCCAGACTGCTTGATCCTTCAAGCCCCTTCTTAAGTCACCTGTTCTATGAAGGCCCTTCCTGACCATTCCCCCCGATCTACCAATGCAGTACTTTAGTTCCTTCTGGTCTGTGATAACATTTCCAAGATGGCGCCCTGCACCGTTCCCGGGCCAGCTCCTTGGATGTCTGTGAATCTCCTCCATGCAGGCATTTTCTGTGGGGTTTCTTTACCTTTAAAACACGATTGAGTTCAGGGCTTTCTGCTGATGAATAGTAGAGCAGTTTGGGAGCTTACAACCAGCTGCCCCAAAGCCCACTGTGTACCCCACCTACCACCCTACTCCTAGACTCCCAGGCACTTCGTCTGGACCTGTCTGCTCCGCTGGCCATAGGACTCGTAGGCTGTGGGGCCCAAGCATCAGTTCCAATCCTGGCTTCACCCCTTTGCTGTGAGACACCCTGGGCGTGTATTTGAGTTTGTACGTCTATGGAGTGCACACTTTAAGACTCTGATTGCAATGGGAGCGAATGAGGTGATCCACTGAAGGTCTTGGCATTGGTGCCTGGCACATATAAGTATTTTATTTTCCTCTCAGCCAGACACTCCTTCGGTGGATGATAAGTTGCCCAGGGGCAGGAACTTGTTTGTCCCTCCATCCCACACTCAGCCCACGCACTGCCTGCTGGGCGTAGGTGCCCGGCAAATGAGAAATGGATGATGACAATGGTGACACTATTCTACATCCGGGTCTTCTAATTGAAAGGCTCACAAGCTATCGGTTGACACCCTAAGGCTAGCTTCGGATGTAAATGGCCCCCCTTGGAGCTGGCTGAAGGTGGGCGGTCTATTTTTTTTCCGGTTTGTTCCCAGAGAGTCTGTAGGCCTGTTTTGAACTAGTGACTTCTAGATTTCAGAATCTTTCAGTGGTTTTCTGTTGACTTTCACCCTGTTAGACCTCTAGAGCACAAGTCACTTTTGAGAAGAAAGTATCTAATCTGGTAACAAGGCCAACAGGCTGCACTGCTCTGCATAGCTCCTTAGAAATTCACTTCCTGGGAGACCTTCCACAGAGAAGTTTCTGGATAATAAAATGGAGTCACCAAAGTACTGCAGGGTTTCATTGCTTCCTGCACCACGTTGGAACTTATTCAAGCGTGTAGTGACATTTCCTGTCTTGTTAAGCCGAATATATCGAACTGTCACTCACCTTGGCCCCATGTTGACCAAGTGCTTTGGTACCAGGAGCGTCTAGAACCTTGCTGGCGCCACAGAAGACACAGGTCATTGACCCCACTTCACAGACAGGAAGCTCGGGGTCCTGGAGCCCAGATCCACTGACAGGAAATACTGGGACAGCTCCAGCTCTCTCTGGCATAGACTCAGAGTTCATTGCCCTCCTCTGTTGCTGCCTCTTGTGCAATGCCACAGGCAGCAGCTGTGCTTGGGTGCAATACTGCTGATGGAAGTCAAGGCTCATGTGGGGCTCTTGCTCTATGCCTGGTCTCTGTTTACCTGTCGTCAGCTGGGCAGCCTCCCTTAGACCTTCCTTGGGTCTTCTCATTAGCTAAGCACACAGTTGATACTTCAGTTGGATTTCATTACCAGGCACGCATCCCAGGCCCCTTTGTATCTGAAGTCTCATCACCTACTGCTTCAAAAGATGTGAGTCCTTTCTTTGCAGCTTCAGCCTGGGCCTGGTTTGGTCAGATTCCCATGGAGACAGAACCTCATTAGAAAGACTTGTACAGCTGTTGAAATGATGATTGGCCAGGACCAGCCTGGTCAGGGCCCAGCTTCTCGGCATCCATGAGTCATACCAAAGAAGGCCAAGCGGCTAGGCCACCAGGTGGGCTCTCGCAGGGCTCTTGTGGTAGGACTGACATTTTGAAGTCTTCCCGGGAAAGTTCACCACTGAGTGAGAACCTGTCTGGGGCTTTTTGGACCTATCAAGTTCTCAAAGCTCAGCTGAGCCATTGTTCCCTCTCCAAGAGCCGTCGTCACAGTCAGATGTAGCCTGGTGTCTCCTGGGGCTGGGGTAGAGGTAGCCTGATGTCTCCTAGGACTGGGGAAGAGCATTTGGACCAAAAGAAAGCTGTGTGCTGATCATGGGACCACTCCATGGAGGGACAGGCACCCACATTCTCCTCCACTGCCCTGTGGAAGTGTCTCTTATAGGCTTTCCTTCTCATTACACACATCTCTGAGTGATTGTGGTTTTAGTTCTAAATATCTTTGTCGTTTCCCTTATTCCAGCCGCTCCTCATCACAAGTCTGTGCTAGCTGACATCTGTGGGACTGTAAGGAATTGGTTCATTCTCTCTGTGCTTCTGTTACCCTCTGTCTAGCCAGCCCACTAATCTTTGTTTGTTTGTTTGTTTTAAGACAGGGTTTCTCTGTGTAGCTTTGATGCCTGTCCTGGAACTAGCTATTATAGACCAGGCTGGCCTTGAACTCACAGAGATCAATCTGCCTCTGCTTCCCAAATGCTGGGATTAAAGGTGTGAGCCACCACTGCCCAGCTCACTTTTTTTTTTTCTTGAGGCAGGATCACATGGATCCCAGGCTGACTTCAAGCTTTCCATGTAGCCAGGGATGACCTTAAACTTCTGATGCTCCTGTCTCTACCTCCTGAGTGCTGGGATTATGGACATAGGCTACCACGACTGGATAGAACCCAGGACTTTGTGGTGCTAGGCAAGCACCCTGACATCTGAGCTGCATCCCCGGTCCAGCCCATCTCTTAAGTAGAGATAGAAACTCTGAAGCTGACGTGAGGGTCTTGTGACATAATACCTGTGTCACTGTCAAGGTTTGACTTTATTCACAGAGCTTTGGTTCTCATGTGCCAGCCATAGAAACCAAGCTTTAGAGGGGGGAGTTTGCAACTCTGGTACCAGGGATCAAAGCAGATGGCAGGGGAGGCTGATAAATTCGGCTTTCTGAACTACTCCATGATGGGTACCATATATGCCATTTAAACCTGGGAAAACTGGATGCTGACTTCTCCAAAGAGTGAAAGTATTGCCAGAGAGAGAAAGACACCATTAGTGTTCACCCCTTTCAAATGACTGAGCCATTCTTACGTGTTACGTCTGGGTCAAAGTGCCAGGATGGATGTCATATTCAAACATGATTGGTTCTGCCCTGTGCTAAAGGCATGCAAAGGCCTGGGCTGTATTGGTGGTTTGTACCTAAATGGTCTCTTTCTTTACTTCCTCCCACAAAAGGAGCTGAACTGGCAGATGAAGGTGGAACCCCAGTACCCTAGACCTCCTGGTCTCTTCGGAAATGAAGGTCATTGCTATATTCCTTGTCTTCATCTTCTGCTGTAAGTAGAAGCCCTCTGAGCCAGTGCCGGGAGGCCATCCTTCTGACGATGTCATGGGGGTAGCATTGAGCGAAGGAAGGGTACAAGGTACTAAGGAGAGAACCAGCCTCCCCCCAAAGTTCTCCCACCTCTGGTTCTGCTGTCTGGTGGGCCTGGTCACAGTGTTGGGTCCTCACAGAACATCTCAGAATCCAGGGACATTGACCACATAGTGGAAAAACGATGTTTGGCTGTGGTGTGAGCACTCCCGGTCTTGGGAGGTTTTCTTCCTTCCCAGTCTGGTTGCCTTTAGTTGAAGCTATGTGTAGTGTTGTACAAAACGGTAGGCATGATCCCAGCCAGCTGGAGTAATTCTTCCGGGAAAGGCATCCCAATGATGGCTAGTGAAATACTTGGTCAAACCAAGTCACTGCTACCAAGCTTCTGATTGCTTACCTCTCTGAAGGACTTCCTGAGAACCATCTGAGGTCTGTTAAAACAAAACAAAAAGTTAGCTGTTTGTCCCAAACCAGCTTCCTGCTGTTTCCAGCCCTTTCACAGTAACTCTGGGGTTCGGTGAGTCAGACATATCAAAGTTAGGTCTCTCCCTCTTTCCCCAAGTTGCTAGTGAGCTTTGCAGTTTTCAAAATTATGCCAATGTGTAATCTCGGCACTTGGGAAGTGGAGGCAGGAGGATTGAGAAATCAGGTCAAGACGTCCAGCTCGGCACTGAGGCGGGAGGGAGTTGAGAAACATCCCCCATCCCTCGCGCTGTTTTCCTTCTTTGAGTTTATGCGTTTGCTGTATTTTTATCACAAACCAAATGTATGTTTATAATTTTAAAAAATCAAATGCAGGGCTGGGGACATAGCTCAGCGGGAAGAGTACTTGCTTACCATATACAAAAACCTGGATTCAATCCCCAACACTGAATAAGGCCAGGAGGGACAGCCCAAGCCTATAATCAGCTGTTGGAAGTTCGAGGTCATCCTTGACTACACGTGAGTTTGAGGCCAGCTTGGGCCAGAGAAGATTATGTTTAGCCACAAAGCAAAGTCATAAAATACAGAGTAGCCAAGGTACAGCCTTCTCGGGGGCCAGCACTTTCCTACACCTAGATACAACTGCTCTGGAATCTGTGGAGGACAAGCCTACACACACACACACACACACACACACACACAGAGAGAGAGAGAGAGAGAGAGAGAGAGAGAGAGAGAGACTCAAAATCTAGGAACAAAATACTACAGGTTTCTTCACCGTTCTGTGGCTGTAAAGAGACACCATAACCAAGGCAGCTCTTATAAAGGGAAGCATTCAATCGGGGGCTGGTTTACAGTTTCAGAGGCTTAGACCATTCTCATCAGGGCAGGGAGCTTGGCAGCAGGCAGGCAAGTGTGGTGCTGGGGAAACAGTCGAGAGCTACAGCCTGATCTGTAGGCAGAGAAAGAGTGACTAGGCCTGGCTTGGGCTTTTGAAACCTCAAAGTTCACCCCCAGTGGCACACTCCCTCCAACAAGGCCACACCTCCTAATCCTTCCCTAAGAGTTCCACTCCCCGGTGACCAAACCTTCAAATATGTGAGCCTTGGAGCCGCCCTTATTCAAGCCACCACCACCATGTGCTTATTCAAAAGGTATATGGAAGTATGCCAAATGAATATGGCCTCGTTCTTACCTGTCTGCCTCAGTCTCACTGCCTGGAGTTCACCTATTAAAAGTGATTCATTGCTAAGACGAGTACTTTGATGACCATCCTCCTAGGGGTGGACATGTGGTTCTTTGATGGCATCCTTCTGGGGGTGGACGTGTGCTACTTTGATGGCATCCTCCTGGGGGTGGACATGTGGTACTTTGATGGCATCCTCCTGGGGGTGGACGTGTAGTACTTTGATGGCATCCTCCTGGGGGTGGACGTGTGGTACTTTCCAGTACTCTGATGTTACAGACCACACTGCCAGCAAGCATCCTTGTATAAGCATCTCTCTGTGTGTCTGTAAGCACTTTGTAGAAGTACAAAGCCTATTAATGCATGGCTGTGATTCCAGCACATTGAAGACAGAGAGGGAAGGATCTCTCTAGGTTCAAGGCCAGCCTTGTCTCTTTAGGACCTTCCAGTCCAGCCAGGGTTATGTAGTAAGAGAAGACCCTGTCTATTAAAAATAATAATAATTGATGAGTCTGTGTGTGTGCGCGCCATTTAACAGACTGGATGAAGGGTGTTTTTCTGATCTCTTACCCCTGAATGTTGCTTCTCCTGAGAGACTATTAATGCCTAATGCTTCCTAGAGGAGGGACTGCCTGGAACCTTGGCTTTGAGCTTTCCCAGTTAGTGCTGATCAGACCTGGATGGTGGTAGAGGGACGGCTGGGGAACCTGGCCTCATCCAGGTTAGCAAGAAACTTGCTGGGTGATGGAGTAACACTGATCCTGCTTTCTTTCCTGTGAAGGAAGCTGGCACCTTGTATGAGGGCCCTGGACTGCCCACCTCACTGCAGGCACTCCAGCAAAGCCTGTGGGCCCTCCAGCAAGGCCTGTGGGCCCTCAGGCTCTTCATTTCTTGTTTTCTCCTTGGCAGGGATGACCTCCACTCTCAGCAGCTTCTGGCAGTTCCAGAGGATGGTCAGACACATCACAGGGCGCAGCGCCTTCTTCTCCTATTATGGATACGGCTGCTACTGTGGGCTAGGGGGCAGAGGGATCCCCGTGGATGCTACAGACAGGTGATGCACAAGCCCTTGGCGAGTCCCATACTGCATTTGTGCTGACGTCTAGGCTTACAGTGAGGAGAGAGGGCTTAGAAATCCTGACAAAACAATTCCAAATCAGCGTGAGATTGAAAGGGGCTTGTAGGGTGAATCTTGGAGAAGCCGGAACTGAGCCGCCTTTCCCTGGTTTGCCTGTGAAGCTGCTAAGGGTCCTGTATGCCTAAGGTCCTGGATATGGCTTATGTGCTGAGCATCTTGAGACAGGGGCTTAGCTCCTAACTCGTGTTGCATCTAACTTACTACATAGAACAGGTTGAGCTTGAACTCTGGATCATCCTGCCTCAGCCTCCTAAGTGTTCCGATTCTAGTAATGTACCACCATGTGCAGATCAAACCCAGAACTCTATCCCTGCAGGACAGCCATACCACTGAGACACTCCAGGCCCATCCTGGTGTTCTCAATCAAGGGCCCTAACGTTACACCCTCGGTCCAGCCCGAGATCTGGAAGCCCTTTCCCATTAGCCTGGCGAAGGTGTTCTCCATTCGCATGCTCCCATTTCTTAGGGTTATGGGCTCAGCAAGATTGCCCTGCCAGCTTCCAGACCTAATTCCATATTTTAGGAGAGAAGCCAAGTGGCCCAGTTCAGGAAAGTTATCCATCTGGAGGCAGTCACACGGTACCAAGTTGGTTTCCAGGACAGTTCGAAGGATTTGAGGGTGGGTGGTGTTAGCTTCTTTAAAATAAATGGACATTACTGTAATCTGGAGATGGTACAGTGGAAAGACTGGATAGCTTGTGTCTTTTCCCATTTGAAAAAAATAAGAAAGGAAATGTACCTGGGCATGTCCTTAGAGCAGGGCCTAATATACGGAACTTGAGCCCCAGGCTTGGCTGTGGAGACATGGAAGGCCACTGCCACTTGTGAGATCCACCGTATGTGCCCAACACTGAACAGGTGATCTACACATGGGCCTCAGCCCTCAGCCCTCACCCCTCACCATGAATACAAGAGGCAGCATCCCCGCTGTAACCCACCTGATGGCTGAGGACAGAGAATCCCAGACTAAGTTCTCAGCCACCACCCGCAGGTGAAGCAGTAGAGCCTGGTCTGGAACACAGATCACCCATTTCTAAATCCACCCCCTGTCATTGTCCACCTGTACCTTGCCTATTAGAGTCCAAAGATAGATTCAAAGCTGCACACCATGAGCTGAGAGTCACAAAGGGCCAAGAGCCCAGGTACACATGAGAACGTCCAGAAAAGGACAGGTGTATCAGTAACACCGCCCCCCCAGCTCCAGAGTCGGCAGGTCCAGGGAAGGCGAGGGAAGCTGGAGGTCTCTTCCAGCTCTCGCCCAGTGTCCTCCCGCTGACTCCCCAGGGACACCCCCACACCCGTACAGCCCCCCACCTTCTTCTCCCCACCAACCAGGTGCTGCTGGGCTCACGACTGCTGCTACCACAAGCTGAAGGAGCATGGCTGCCAGCCCATCTTGAATGGCTACCAGTTCAGCATTGTCAATGGGACTGTGGCTTGTAAGTAGCCTTCTCTGGAGGGAGGCGATGGGACCTGAGCTGGTCCTTAGCAGGCACCTCCTCCTTAGCCCACTGCTCATTTTAGGGGATGAGACATTCCCATGCGCTTTGAGACAAGAAACAGGGCCGAGTCCGAGAGTCAGAGCTTGGTTTTGCCTGGTCTCTTCTGCCCGCCCCTGAACCGCAGCTCCCCTAGGAACCCAGAGCCCGCCCTACTCTGTGGACCACTAAAGAGTTGTTGACTGTGGAATCCATTGACTTTGCACTTTCCCGAGGTAGCTCTGGCTGTTGAGAACATTCCTTTATTCTTTTTTTCTTTTCCATTTTTCAGGCATGTGTGGTTTGCGTGTGTGTTATGTTTTTGTACGTAGGTAGGTACACTTGTAGGTGGGCACACACAGGCGGAGGCTTGAAGTTGATGTTAGGGATTGTCCTCTGTCACTCTCTATCTTGTCACTGAGGCAGTGTCTCGGTCAGACCCGCAGCTGGCTGATGTAGCTAACGTACTGTGGGGATCCCGTCTCTGCCTCCAAGGCCTAGGATCGTAGGCAGGCCACCAGACCCACCCAGCAATTGGTTTCTGGGTATCTGAACTCTGACCTCCCAAGTGCTTTACCTACTGAATTATTACTCCAGCCCTGATAGCCTCTAGTTCTTTTTTTCTCATGTTAGCAAGGCGTTTGGCTGTCTGTCAGCTGAGCAAATATTCACCAAGGGCAACTGTCTGTTGTGCGCTATGACCAATGTGGATAGGGGCAGAGAAGTAACCGGGGGGGGGGGGGGGGGGACACTGCACGGGCGGGGCCTGGGTGGAGAAGCACACAGAATGGTCTCTCGAAAGGAGTACGTCCTGGAGCTGAGGGTGTGGGCATGTGAAGGGCAAGTCCAGCTTGAAGACTTGAAGGTGGTGGGCACAAGCCTTTGTCCAGCCTTGTAATTCCAGCCCAGTAGGTGGTTTCCTGCTCCTCACGTGCTCAACTCCTGCCAGGCCCTAGGGCATAGCAAGCCACTTCCTCCCGGGTACATGCACAGCTGTGTTTCTCGGCATCCTTCTGCCTCCCTCAAGGTCAGAGAACTGCCAGCTGTCCCCGACTCATCTCTGGGGACAGAGGACTTAGGACTCCACACTGGGAATCCTGGTACCCAGCACCCCACACAGGACTGGAGGCCAGCACTCAGAAAGCCCCTGGGTCAGCACTGTTTCCTCCCTGCCCCCCCCCACTGTGAGACTGGAAGTGTGGTGGGCTGGGGGCTCAGACCCCCACAATAGAAGATTGCTTTCAGTTCAGTCTGCCTAATATACAGCCCTGCACATTGACAGGGAGACCTAGTTCCTAAAGAGAACCTTTGCCACCGAGGCCTAGGCCAACCCTCTGACCTTCCTCCATTCGCTGGCTGCGCAGGAGGATGAAGATAGGCCTGGAAATGGTCCCTCCCAGCCCCAAACTCCAGGATAAGGGAAGCTTAGAGGAAGGTACCCTGAGGCAGGCTGAGGCCACAGATGATGACGCCTCCTGAGCAGCACTTGTTAGCTGGTGGCAGAAGACAGAGGCAGGACCCAGGAGCTTGTGTCCATGTCTGAGCTTCCCCACAAACAGCCCACGAGTCTGGAGAATGAGACTTCCACAGCTACTGGGGCATCATTGTCACCCTCCGGGGGGAAACCTAGAACTCTGTGGCCCAGGTTCCAGTGCAGTGCCTGCTGCTGCTGTGACCCACACACGCACCCTTTGTTGGCTGGGCAGCTGCTACTGTGACCCAAAGCCAGACACAGAGGGAGGCAGGCCCAGCCCCTGTTTGCCTAAGATCGGTAGCTTAGGAGAACTCCAGAGCAGAAAATGCCTCGGAGACCATCCCAGCTGACCTCTCGGTGATGCTCTGGGAAGGCTGAGGCCCACAGAGGAGAGGGGTTTGATCCAGGTGAGTGACAGCCACCACCGAGACTCCCATGCTGAGTCTTTCCAGGAAGTCCACTTTGGAACTTCCTGCCTGGCTTGAGCTGTCTAGGCCTCCGGCCTCTCACCCCTGAAGTGAGAGCAGGAGCTACCCCAGTGTGCAGCCGACAGTAGCGGCTTTGCGCACCTCGGCTTGGCTTGCCAGGATAGACCTCGGAGGGAGGCACTTTTCTCCCTATTATTGCATGGGATGTTGAGGCTCAGGGAGGTCAAGTGGCGTGTCCGAGGTCACACAGCCAGGGAAAGGATGGAGATTTGGGCCCAGGTGCTCTGTCTCCTGACTACCCATCCTGGTGGGAAGGCTTGATTATGTGTTTATTCTCCAAATGCAAGTCTCACGACCGCTAACAACTGATGAGCTGCCCCGTCCTGAGTGTAGGGGCACAGTGAATGGACCTTGGTCTAACCGAATACCCCAGACCTCTTTGTTTGTCCTGCCAAGGGGCTTCGTCTTTCCCATCCAGACTCATTGTTGCTGCCAAGCCTCAGTTTCCTCACCTGTGGAAAGGGTGAGATCATCCACCCTGCCCAAGGTTGCTGGTTGATGGACAGGAGTCACCCTTCTTGTGATCCCTTGGAGGGGCTGGCCCACTGCAGGTGTTCAGTTAGCGCCTGCCATTCGGATGTGGAAATTTCTGGTTTGTCCCAGCCTTGCTTTTGATTTTGTTGGGGGAACACCGGGACTGTTTTTGTAATTTTGTAATCTTATGTGGGTAAACATTTTGGCTGCATGTCTGTGTACCATGTGTGTGCAGTGCCAGCAGAAGCCAGAACGGGGTGTTGGATGCCCTGAAACTGGAGTTACAGACAGTTGTTGGCTCCCGTGTGAGTGCTGGGAATTGAACCCAGGTCCTCTGGAGAGCAGCAGGTACTCATAACCACCAAGCCATCTCTCCAGCCCACCGTCCCCTCCTTGTCTTAATTATAGTTCCATTGAAGTCTGTCCTGTCCTGCCCCCTCTAGGGCTAAAATCGTTCCCGTGACCCTTATGGAATTAAGCCTCTCCCATGCCCAGGCCACACTACAGCTGAAAGAGCGGCACTGCAAGGGTTAATAATGCTTCCAGCAGCTCTGAGATCCCTCCCCCAAGCCTGGTCCCAGGTTACCTAGCAACCAATGTGGGGAGGGCTTTGGGGGAGGGTGTGGTAAGTTAGTGGGGGGTGGGGCAAGGGATGGTGTCAGCCTGAAATGCCACCCAGATACCAGTGCACAACAAAGTCTTTGAAGGAGCTCAAGGGCCAGTTTTCTTGAAGGGGACAGCTGCCCTAGCGTGGCTGACCAGGTGGCCGCTCCTCCTCTGAGGAGGTTTATATAAGCACTTGGCATTCACAAGGGACTTGCAGATCAGTGCAGTGACACCCCCTCCACCCACACAGGCATGCGCATGTGTAGGGTGATGCCTGGCTGTGGGGGATAGAGACTGGTTCTAGCCACCGGAACCACTGTCACCTGCTGTCCCCGGTGCCTGCAGGCCCCTGGAGACGGAGAGGCAGAAGTAACTTCTGGGAGTTTTAGTTTCAAAGACCTTTCTCATTACTCTGTATGCGTTCCTCGGACCAGCTTCTACGGCCTGGTCCACACCCCTTTCCTCTCCCAGCGTTCATCGTGCCCTGACTTTTCCTGTACCTTCTTTGTCTACTTGTCTTGTGCGGTGGCCCCCACCTCCCTGCTAGGGTGTAAGTTCCCTGAGAGCTGTGAGAGTCCACTACTTTACTGTGACCTTGACAGATACCTGAGGTCACCAGCTTAAAGGAAGAAAGGTTTCTGGGAGTTCGGCCATTATTGGCTCCAAACCTCTGAGCAGAAGTGGTGGCAGAGTGGTGTGTGGCAGGGTGTGTGGTGTGTGGTGTGTGGCAGTGTGGTGTGTGGTGTGTGGCAGGGTATGTGGTGTGTGGCAGGGTGTGTGGTGTGTGGTGTGTGGCAGGGTGTGTGGTGTGTGGCAGGGTGTATGGTGTGTGGTGTGTGGCAGGGTGTGTGGTGTGTGGCAGGGTGTGTGGTGTGTGGCAGGGTGTGGTGTGTGGTGTGTGGTGTGTGGCAGGGTGTGTGGTGTGTGGTGTGTGGCAGGGTGTGTGGTGTGTGGTGTGTGGCAGGGTGTGTGGTGTGTGGTGTGTGGTGTGTGGCAGGGTGTGTGGTGTGTGGTGTGTGGCAGGGTGTGTGGTGTGTGGTGTGTGGCAGGGTGTGTGGTGTGTGGCAGGGTGTGTGGTGTGTGGCAGGGTGTGTGGTGTGTGGCAGGGTGTGTGGTGTGTGGTGTGTGGCAGGGTGTGTGGTGTGTGGCAGGGTGTGTGGTGTGTGGTGTGTGGTGTGTGGCAGGGTGTGTGGTGTGTGGTGTGTGGCAGGGTGTGTGGTATGTGGTGTGTGGCAGGGTGTGTGGTGTGTGGTGTGTGGCAGGGTGTGTGGTGTGTGGCAGGGTGTGTGGTGTGTGGTGTGTGGTGTTTGGCAGGGTGTGTGGTGTGTGCTGTGTGGTGTGTGGTGTGTGGCAGGGTGTGTGGTGTGTGGTGTGTGGCAGGGTGTGTGGTGTGTGGCAGGGTGTGTGGTGTGTGGTGTGTGGCAGGGTGTGTGGTGTGTGGCAGGGTGTGTGGTGTGTGGTGTGTGGTGTGTGGCAGGGTGTGTGGTGTGTGGCAGGGTGTGTGGTGTGTGGTGTGTGGCAGGGTGTGTGGTGTGTGGTGTGTGGCAGGGTGTGTGGTGTGTGGTGTGTGGCAGGGTGTGTGGTGTGTGGTGTGTGGCAGGGTGTGTGGTGTGTGCTGTGTGGCAGGGTGTGTGGTGTGTGCTGTGTGGCAGGGTGTGTGGTGTGTGGTGTGTGGCAGGGTGTGTGGTGTGTGGTGTGTGGTGTGTGGCAGGGTGTGTGGTGTGTGGTGTGTGGCAGGGTGTGTGGTGTGTGGTGTGTGGCACCATGTGGTGTGTGGCAGAGGAGGGTCTAAACCTCATGACAGACAGGCAACAAGAGACATACAGATATAATACACAGCCCCCAAAGACTTGCTAACGGCGACCTCTTTTCTTCAACTAGAACACTGCCCTCGCCCAGCTAAAGCTTCCATCACTTTC